AATATGTAGTGGAAAACATATATCACCTTAGTAGGAATGTCTGAAGACTTGAGTTTAATTTATTTTTGGGCTTTGAGGAGGGTTTATCGGGCAAATAAATGCATTTATCATTGCAGAGGTTAAATTATCCATTTTTCCCTTCAAATGCTTCCAAAATGGAAACATTAGCCCAATTTTGACAGAAGTTAGAGCTTTTAAAGGGGTGCAATAGGTGCCTTCTACCTCTCCAAGACTGTAGAAATTCATTTCTCCCCTATCCCCTCACAACTTAGGCATGGATCCCAGTGTTTTTTTCCCCACACATTCTGAGGTTTCCTGTGGATTAAAAAAGGGGTGCTGGTTGTGCCTGCATAAGACATTTGTGCTACTGCCTTAGGGCTTGCTATATAAACAAGAATTTCAGCTGTTAGGCTTTGCTTTGCCAATAAAAAAAACTTACATAGTAAGGGGTTTAAACTGTAGTTAAATATGTGGTTCTGTGCGCTTCTCTCCTGTACCAGTAGGAAAAATATTACTTCTGGTATCCTTGTGTACTGTATTTTATTTGTTGTGGATTTTGCATTATAGCCAATGGCTAAGAAAACATCCTGAAGTCCTAGGATATAGGAGGTAGCATTCTGCAGTTCATCAAATCATTTCACAAAGAGCCCATATGAGTCATATTGTATTTTTATTTTATGTATTCTGGGTATGTGAGATCTCCATTGTATTCTGGAATTAAAGCTGTTTGAGATTCTTTCTAGTGGAATAACTATAAATTTACTTTCTATTTTGATAGTTTGCATAGTAGTTATTTTTACAGTTGTATATAATTTATTTCCAAACAAATGTACAGCACAAGTCTGATATTTGCTTAATATTTCACCATGTTTGCAGAATGCCCCAATTCTGCCTCTTGGTAGATACAGTTCTATAGTGCATGTAGGTAGCATTGCCAAATATTTTTTTATTATATTTCTAGGTTGAATAAATTGTCTGTTTAGTGGGAAGCCTGTATATTATGCTTGTAAAAGCAATTTATTTTATTCAAGAGGTATATGAATTCAGAATAGAAATCTTAATTTTAAATCAAGTATACCCTAATCTTTACTCAGCTTTAGAATGAAATCGGAAAACTTCATTATCTTTAGGGACTTAATTATAGTTTCTGTCTTAATTTACCATAGGATAAAACTATTATTTAAATAGGAAAATGTGCATAAGAAATACTATAGTTTTGTTGGCATGGCAATAATAAGCCAGATGCCTTTCCTAATTTCTCTAATAAACAGTTACGCATTCCAGTCTATAGCTTGCTATGCTGGCCTCAAATAAATAAATTTTAAAATATTGGGGGAGGGAGAACTAGATAAAGTGTGCCTCTAAACTGCTTTGGTTTCTTATATTAACTTATTTTTCAATAAATGCCTCTGTATCCAAAGTGCTGGAGATGGGATTTTTTCTGTATGAAAGTTCTGTTGTGGTATTCAGTGCACAAAATAAAGCTGACCTATCAACGTTTGCACATACTGTTTTCTTTCTTTGGACTAAAAGTTGTTTAGTTTCCTTAAACAGTTTAAGTTTAGTGAATACTTTGGAAAATATTCAAATCATGTTGCGGGTTTAAGACAAACCAATTTTTATTAGTGCAGACCTCAGATGATGATAAAGATAAGTGTGGGTGTGCCTTCGAGTCAATGTTGACTCCTGGCAACTGCCTGGACAAGTCCCTGCAGTTTTCTTGGCAAGATTTCGGGAGTAGTTTCCATTGCCTCCTTCCTAGGACTGAGGGAGAGTGACTGACCCAGAGTCACCAAGCTGTCTTTGTCCCTAAGGCAGGCTAGAACTCACAGTCACCAGGAGTAAAAAAAACCCCAAAAACCTGACTCAAAGGCACCCCCACCCAAAAAAAAAAGCTAAGTAATGCTTTATTTTCTGTAAGTTAAGTAATGGATCCTTTTTTCTGATTGGCTCTTGACTTAAAAATGTTGCAGAAATCCTACTTGTTTTAATTCTCCCATATATTATTTCATTGAATGACCTGACATACTCTCTTTCATTGAAGCTTTTCTGGAGTAGCATGTTCCAACTTTTACTCTGCTCCATGGAATTTGATGCCATTCCTAAAATGAATACCAAAAGATCATTTTGCAAAGAGTTGACTCCCGGCTTGTTTGTATAACGAAAGGAGAACAACACTTTATGGAGATATCAGTGGTTGCTGAAAGATAGGCAGACTCAGTATGGGAGTGAAGTCCCTGCTGTCATTTATAGCTGTTAAAACTGAAAGTGATATTTGCTCATTTTAATCTTTATCTTTCTCTCTCTTTTCTTTCCCATTTCCCTTCTTATTCCAAAGGCCTGTATAGATGAAAACCTGGACATGGTAAAATTTCTGGTAGAATATGGAGCCAATGTAAATCAGCAAGATAACGAGGGGTGGACCCCACTTCATGCAGTTGCATCTTGTGGCTATCTGAACATAGCAGAGTGAGTGAGTTTCAGTGTGACCTGCATACTAGAAAGAGTACTTGATTTATTTCAATTTCAGATGTGTGTGGGGCAAGTCTTAAATGAATTCCCAAGCAAGTGTCTTAGAGACTAAAACATAGGTACATTTCTGTTTGTATGGATATGCTTTACAAAGTATTAGCTCAAAGCAACAGAACTTATCAGTAGTCTTCTCTAAATCTTTAGTGTGAATGATGGAGTGCTCAAATTGTGTAGAAAGATGGGATATAAACCAAATGAATAACAGGATCATATTAATAACAACAATAACCTGAATGTGTTGTAGTATTTGCAATGGTAGCTCTGACTAATACTGTGGTCTCTCTCTGATTTACTTTTTAAATCACTTCAGCAATCCATAAAGTCTTAAATTTAGGATGATTATGTTGTGTTGGTATTATTATTTAGACACTAACATTTTAATAGTGTTTAAAACAGTGCATACAATTAGTTCCTTAGAGAAATCCTATGAAATGTAAATAGGATCTTTGATACCAAAAGATTCTATAAAATCAGAGGTGTCAGATTCTGTGTAATGGAGGAGGTTCCTAATGCATATGAGCCATTATTTCATTTTTGTTGTGCTACAAAAGAAAAATTAATGACAACAACAATAGTATTATAGGTAGTCCTCATTTAACATCTACTAATTCAGTGACCATTTGAAGTTATGGCAGAGATGAACGAGGGGTACTTGCGACGGGTCCTCATAATGGCAGCCGTCACAGCATCCCCGCAGTCATGTGATCACAATTCAGGCACTTGGCAATCAGCTCGCAATTACGATGTTGCAGCGTCCCATGGTCATGTGATTGCCATTTGTGACCTTCACCGCCAGCTTCCGGCATGCAAAATCAATGGGGAAGCCAGCAGGAGGTCACAAATGGTGATCACATGACCGCGGGACACTGCGACTGTGTGGGATTTGCCTAATGACAGCAACTGGGACTGCCAACATAAGTCAGCACAGTTATGTAATGTCGTGCCTTACAACTGTGTCGCTTAGTGACAGGGTTTCTGGTCCCAATTACCATCGGTAAGCGAGGACTACCTGTAATAAAGCAAACCCACCTTCTGATAAGGTTGATGAACCACTGAAAATAAACATTCCCCAATTTCCCTATCCAAATTGGAAAAGCAGGCTGAAAATTCCGGCTCAGTCTCCTTTGGCGTTATCATTATAGCACATTACTGTCCTACCCCCTGGGTCCTTGGCTTCTGGAAAAAGGAATGGTGCTTAGTTTCAGAAAGTTCTTACCCTACCTATTGTTACAGCATTAGTAATAGGAACACAGCACTTTCAAAAGTATGCTACAAGAATGTTTCTTTGAAAGCAAGGTTATAGTAATAAATGGCATGGGATGAGATAGTGAGCTCCATATCTGGCAGTCTTGAGTAATTTTCTTTGATAAGTTTAAATGTATGCTGGTCCAGTGCAGTGATGTGAATAGTTCCTTTTACTGTTGGAACCATTTCAAATGTAAGGAATGCAAACTTCAGAAATTAACAAGTGGAACTGTTATATGTATTTTCCTGGAGATAAATCTCACTAAACTCAGTAGGGCTTAGTTCAGAGAAGATATGCATATGATAATGATCTTTATAATATTGAAGCAGAAAGAGGAGTTTGGGATAAGAATATATAAATTAGCCAAATCATAAGAATCAGGTCAGCTTTTTGAATTGTAATCTTTTTTTGCATAGAAAGGTTTGATGAACCAGAGATGCATACTGAGAATAAATGGTTCTTTTACTTTAAAAATAAAATAGTTCAATCTTACTAACATGGGGAAAAAAATTACCTGGTTGTTTTCAAAAGATAGACCTATTACAGTTAGCTGAGGAATTAACTATCACTGTTTTTTCCTGTGATAGAAGATTTACTATCGGATGCCTTGTTTGAATCACAGAGTCACATAAAATAGACTTGTACTGAAATTGAGTCTCATTTGGTTTTCATCCATATAGGTATTTGATAAGTCATGGGGCCAACGTTGCTGCTGTGAACAGTGAAGGTGAAGTCCCATCTGACCTTGCAGAGGAAGCAGCCATGAAAGATTTGCTTTTGGAACAAGTAAAGAAACAGGGTAAGGCAACTATGTATCTCTTTATCATTAGATTTTGTTCGATGGATTTTTTTCTTCCATGGCAAAGCTTCAGGAACAGAGATGCACAGCATGAAATACAATTCACTTATTCTTAAATTTGACTCTACATCTCATTATGACTTTTAGAAAGGAAGATACACATTCTGAAAATTCATAAAAATATTGCATATGTACTAGGTGATTATTGTAGAGTGAGTTTTGTATGATGGACCTATATGTGTAAACAAGGTTTTGCACCAACACATTGCTTTTCTGTGGGGTACTTACAAATCTTAACTATCTCATATTATCATCATCCATTCTTCTTGCCCATTGCCTATTTTTGGCACTGCTGCTGGAATTATATCAGCTCACTCTTTCGATATAGGCATTCTAAATATCCTCCGAAGGGAAGAAGCAAACTTGATGACTGACATCTGGAAAATGTTGCTTTAAATTTTATATGAAATTGCAAAGGATAATTTTATACAGACAGCTAGTCCATAGACCCTTGAGAGATTTTTTACAGTTTGGTGATTGGCTACTTACAGTATAGGAAATATGGATGGTTGCCCAAATGTTATAGAGGAAAGTGCTGTGGAAAGTGCAATCCTTCCCAATTGTAGTATGTTACCTTGGAAATGAAACCAATTTGATTCTCCTTAGCTGATGAAAAGCTAAATTATCAGCGATGGTGTTTACAAACTATTTGTTCCATTCATTCTAAATATGTTTAATTTTCTGTGGAATCCCTTTAAGCTTTAGATAAAATGAGTCATTTTAATAGTGTGACTATCATAATGATATTATTATATTATAATAGTCAATATGCTAATTGATTTATTCTCCTCCTAAACAATCTTAATATAAAATACTGTCCCATTCTCCTATCAAGATTCATATGAAAACATCTTGATATTTTGACTCTAGAGAAATCCTGAAATAGATAGTTTTGATTAATATGGGTTGGGGGGTTTTCCCCCATTTTTTGGTGTGTTAATAATGTATCTAAGTATCTCAGTAAGGAAACTAGTATGCTCTGGATCAGTGGGAATTTTAATAGATTCATTTCACCCCATGAGATGGAAACAGGCTTTTCTATAATAGATTGTAACTTCTTCTGTGTATTCCATGCACAAGCACCTCAGCATTTTGTAGATGATGAGGAATGATTGTTGGCCATACTAGCTCAGCAATTATAGTAGTTGTTCTTCAACAAGCCTTAAAAGCATCAGGTTCAGTTCAATAGAATTATAAAAAAGCTGTGTCTCTAAGGGAAAAAAATAACTGCTTTTAAAAATATGTCTGTATTAAAAAAAAATCTTACTCATTTCTGCTCCCTTTTTTAACAATGTGGAAATGTATCTCCACTTCCCTTTATTATTTTTTTGTTCTACCTTGAGGTTTTTTTTACACCTGCAGTCTGTTTCTCCAGGGGTGGATCTTGATCAGGCCAGAAAAGCAGAAGAACAACAAATGTTGCAGGATGCCCGACAGTGGCTAAATAAAAGGAAAATTGAAGAGAGAAAGCACCCTCGAACAGGTGCTACTGCTCTCCACGTAGCTGCAGCCAAAGGCTACTGTGAAGTGATGAGGTACTGATCTCTTTTCATTGTTTGCTGTGTTAAACTAGGTCTTGGAGGGGATTGCTGTAACTGAAAAGGAAGAGTTACATGACTGGGTTCAAACATACTACTGAGGCATAATGTAGTTGGGTAGATTTTAGCTTATTTAATCATTTACTTATATGATTTATATAGCTGCTCATCTCAGAACAGTGGCTTTGGGTGGCATTCAAGGTTTAAAACAACAATAACATATTGACATAATGACATCCAAGGTTAAAACGGTAAACCACAAGTCATAAAAAGTCACCTCACCAGCAGAGCTCACAGAACCCGAATCCTGGCCCAAATGCCAGGTCTTCAGAACCTTACAAAAGGCTAACAGGGTTGGGGCCGTCTGGATTTCCAGAGGGATGCTGTTCCCCAGGGTAGGCGCTTCCACAGAGAAGTCACAATTCCTTTATCCAACAATATGGCATTGTTTGATGTAAGGGACCCAGAGCATGCCCTCCCTGCTAGACCTCGTGAGGCAGGCAGAAACTCTGGGAGATAGGCTTATAAATCATTCAAACCCAGTCATTGTGCTTTGTAAACTATGATTTTATAGGATTGTTATGAATTTCTGGTTGGGATTTTCCAGGATGTAATTTAAGAGAAACTAGGTTTATATGTTTATTTTTAATCCCAATGTAAAATATTTTACTGTTTACTCTTGCTACCATCAGGTAATAATGTAATGCCAGCAGCAAAATATAGACTTTGAAGCAACATATATTTGATGATTCTCCCTTATATTGGAAGAAACAAGCTGTGCTAACTGAAAATTCACTTTTTGCCTTGGTTTCTCCAGGGAAAGTGGAAATAATGATACTGTTTGTGGTATAGGCTGTTGGCTGGCCAGCCCTGTAAGAATGAGATAAGCACTGGATTTTTATTTTCCTGATTTTCTGAAGTTGGCTTTGGCATTTTTTTTTTTAGGTGGTATTTCTTTTTGTTACAATGTATTGCTCCCAACAAAGGTAAAGGTATGCACAGATATTCAAGCACAAGGGCAAGGACAGTTAATAGTTGTTTTTCCTCTTTTTTTATTTTTAATTAGACTAATGGCATAGATAGCTGCACCAAGCATAGTAAATACAAATTAGGATTCTATTTGTAGGATAGAGGCTTACCCACGTGCCACAGTGATTTTTGATGTGTAGGGATAAGATTTGCTTTTTTATCAACTTCAGAGAAAATATCAGTTAACTTTAGTGTAACATTTGCCTGCTTTGTGCTATTATTCCATGACTTGTCATATATTGCATGCCAGAACAGCAGTATTGGAAGCATCAGTATTTGAAAAACTTTATTGAACAGCCCACTCCCATTGTTCATTAAGTGCTCAGTTTGGGAAGCAGAACATTTTGATCTGATTTTTGTATGCTTGCTTTCTGTATCCAGCAGTGCTGTGTAAATCACTTTGCAGTTATACCTTTTTATTCGTTATTTTTTATTCCTTTATTACTTCCATTCAGGAAATGTTGTCATATGTTTTAGGTTTGGACATTTCCTGGGCCTAGAATGATTCCATTGGGTTTTCAGAGACATCGATACTAAGAGATCCTGGAATCTTTGAAATTATTTTTATTGTGTCTCTTAAGAGATTTTGCAGTGACATGGGAGGATGCTAAATTCTAGTTCTTTAAAACAATTGCTTCTAGACTAACTTGTTTGATTTTAGATCCTTTTGAAACTAATGGGATAGCAGTTATGACTTGACTTATGCTATATTCATGTCAGTTGGAACTGACATCCAATTGAAATAACATTGCAATTGTATATATGTCCTGTACTATACATTAAGTTCAGTAATAAATGTGTATAGGCCCCTTTTTGGGTAGTAGTAAGAAAGCAACGTTAATTGTCACTTGGAGCAGAGTGTTGCAATAACTTGTCTAGTCCTTCCCATCTGTCAGGAATGCTATATAGAGTTAAGATACCCTACATTTCCTATTCCAATAAGTGAGGTAAAAAAATGGATGTAATTGTTTCCTATTATAGTACTTCATCAAAGATAAAGCAACAGTGTGTTTGAAAAAGAAACAACTATGCAGGTATTTTATTATTTTTACTAGGATTTATATGCCACTTCAATCACATAATTCTAAGCAACTTGCACAATCCAGTATAGTAAATAAGTATAACAGTTAAACAAAACATACATTACAACTTGGTATCACAATAAATAACAGCCATACACTGTGCCTTCCTCTCACTAACCAGGAAAAAAATCCTCAAAAAATAAACCCCCTATTAGTCCCTGAAGGCTTAGTTGAAGAGGAAGATCTTAAATGTCCCAAATTATCTAGGACTGTGGGTGATGACCAGAACCTAGTATTGCACTAGGAAGCAAACAAGTAACGAGTATAGTTCCCACAGTTGGACCTTTACAGGATTGTACTGGATCTACCCTCTTACCAGACAGGTGGCTGCATTTTATACTAGTTGCCGCTTCCAAATGGTCTACTGGAGGACCCCAGGTAGACTTAAATTTCAGTAGTCCATCCGTGTGGTGACAAAGGCATGAGTGACCACAGTTAGTGCCTCCTTTCCAGGAAAGGGCACAGCTGGCGCAACAGCTGAAACAAGACAGAGGTGCTTCTGGTCAGTTTCCATCTGCTCCTCTAGCAGGAACCATGAGTCCAGGATGACTCCCAGATTCTGAACCTACTCCTTCAGACAGAACACAACCCCAACAGTTCCATGTAGATGTTGAAAATGTGGAAGAGAAGGCTCAGCCCTGGAGGTATCTGAGAGCTTGGCCTCTCCCCCCGATTGGAATTGCCAATGAAGAAGGAGCAGAACAACTTCAAAACAATGCCTCCCACCCCCACCTCTTGCAGACAAACCAGAAGGATTGATGGTATTGGAGGCCACCGAAAGATCTACCTGGACCAGGAGGATTACAGTGCTCCTATCCATGTCCCAGTACAGGTCATCCACAAGAGTTATCATGTCACATGCCTAGTTGAGAATCATGACTGAAAACAGTCCAGATTATCTATTTAATTCACAGCCCCATTTAGCTGCCTCTCCCCTACCTTCTCAGCAATATTCCCCAAGAAAGGGAAGTTGGAGACAGGGAGGGCAATTTAACATGGCTAGATAAGGGATGACCTCTTGAAGAGGTAGGATATAATTGCCTCTTTTAAAACTACTAGTATCAGCCTCTCCATACAAAAGCCATTCACTACTTGAACCTAGCACTCCTCCCTCCATAGCATATTAGCCAGGTGGGATAAGGATCTAGACCACACGTGACAGAATTCACTCACAGAGGATGTTCTCCACTTCATCAAGTTCCACAGGCTCAGACAAATCCCAGATGACATCAGAAGATGTCATCCTTATCTCTTCAGACTCCAGCCAGCCAACCAGTGTTCAACCCCAAATGAGTTTTAATGGTTTTATCAACAAAATGCTTAGAACAAGTCACAGTGGTCAATGCTAAGCTCTTTGGGCCCATTCTTACCCAAAAATGTCCTAGTCATTTCAAATAATGAGGCTGGATGTATTCCACTGATACAATAGATGCCAAGAAGTACCAACTTTTTGCTACACTTACCACTACAGTTTAGGCTCAAATATGAGCTTATACCATGTCCAACTGTGTTTGCTGTTCATTTTCTACAGCATCACTATATATACCCCTTCCTTTGCTTTGTCTCCCAGAGCATCTCAAAGCCCCTGGATCAGCCACTTGGGAGCTATCCTATGTAGTGCCTTCATCATGTCTATCTTGCATTGGTTAGCTAGATTCTCAATAAAATTGTCTGCTAAATTGTCTGTTCACTTCCTAAGCACCCTCTGAAAG